CTTTCTTTCTTTCTTTCTTTCTTTCTTTCTTTCTTTCTTTCTCTTTCGTTCTCTCTCTCTCTCTCTCTTTTTCTATGTTTCTTTTCCCTCTTCTTTTCCTTCTTTTCTGTTCCCTCCCTTTCTTTCTCTCTCTTTCTTTCTCTCTCTCTTTCTCTCTCTCTCTTTCTTCTTGCTTTCATTCTTTCTCACTTCCACCCGTTCCACCCCAAGCTGGTTCATGATCTTCTGATCTTAAGATTGTGAGCTGCTACCTCGACTGCAGAGCAGGTTCCATCTGCAGAATCCAAATTAGTTGTTTAGATCTACTTTCTCCACTGCTTCTCGCTATCTCTTCCCTCTACACAAAGCTCCGGAAATTGTCCAGATTGCGAGGGGAGGTTGAACAGAAGAAGAAAAAAAACCGAAAGAGATAACAAAAGAGAGGATGGCCAAAGCCGTCCCTTTGCCGAAGGATGGGATACAGTTTCCCACAGTGTTTTTTTTTCTCTCTCTCTCCTTGATCCAGCTGTCTGGGAAAAAACCAACACACACACTCACACACACATACACACACAAACAAAGAGAACTAGATTTAAAGCCAACAACCACACCTAACCCAAACCACTCTTCCAGTTCACTAGAAATGGCAAATGAAACTAAGAAAGACTTAGATAATCAGGCGTAAACATCTGCTGACCTTCGATCACCCAGCTTGGTTTCAACAGATGACCCTGAATCACAACTGTAGGAGGGAAGGAAATAAGCTTTTCTTTGTTCCCACTTCTCAGCCTGATGAGCCAGTTTAGACCTCTCTCTCTCCTTCTCTCTCTCTCCTTCTCTCTCTCTCTCCTTCTCTCTCTCTCCTTCTCTCTCTCTCCTCTCTCTTTCTTTCTCTCCTCTCTTCTCTCTCTTTCTTTCTCTCCTCTTTCTTCTCTCTCTTCTCTCTCTCCCCTTCTCTTCTCTCTCTTTCTCTTCTCTCTCTCTCCTCTCTCTTTCTCTTCTCTCTCTCTTTCTCTCTCTCTCTCTCTCCTCTCTTTCTCTCCTCTCTCCTCTCTCTTTCTTTCTCTCCTCTCTTCTCTCTCTTTCTCTCCTCTTTCTTCTCTCTCTCTTTCTCTTCTCTCTCTTCTCTCTCTCTCCTTCTCTCTCTTCTCTCTCTCTCCTCTCTCTTTCTCTTCTCTCTCTCTCCTTCTCTTCTCTCTCTTCTCTCTCTCTCCTTCCCTTCTCTCCCTTCTCTCTCTCTCCCCACTCTTTCTCTTCTCTCTCTCTTTCTCTCCTCTCTCTTTTTCTTCTCTCTCTCTTTCTCTTCTCTTCTCTCCTCTCTCTCTCCCCTGTTTAATTTTGGCTATGGGTGCTCTCTTTCATTCAGCCCCATGGAAGCCAACAGTATGGTCCACCTGCAACCAACAGGTGGGCAGGTGGATTTCTTCCACCCAAGCTTTCTCACAAGGAGGTGCCCAGATCGAACCGTAGATAGTTCGGGCTGAAATAGCCTCTCCTACTCTCACTTTGCCCATCCAGTTTGGCAACAGGGTGAGTTAAGAAGTTAGGCATCTAAAATATAGGTTGCTCATTGTCTGGGGAGCGGAGGCATTACAACATCTCATTGGCTAAATAATGTGGTTTTCGACTCTCTTCTTTTTGAAGCATTGTGTCATGATCTCAAGGGACAAAAACAAATCCTTCTCTTGGGCCTTCTCAGTCAGCCGTGATGACTAAAGCAGGGAATCCTCCATCCGAGGTGGAAGATGATCTCCCTCAATCTGGGTCCCTCAAGGCCTCCGGGTATTTCTACTTAAGGTTGATCAACAAACAACCTCAGGGCAGCTGGCATTTGACAGATGCTTTGTTGACAAGCGGTGGCTCAGTGGCTAAGACGCTGAGCTTGTCGATCAGAAAGGTCGGCAGTTCGGCGGTTCGAATCCCTAGCGCCGCGTCATGGAGTGAGCTCCCGTTTACTGGTCCCAGCTTCTGCCAACCTAGCAGTTCGAAAGCACGTGAAAAGTGCAAGTAGAAAAACAGGGACCTCTTTGGTCGGAAGGGAACAGCATTCCGTGCGCCTTCGGCATTTAGTCATGCCGGCCGCATGACCACGGAGACGTCTTTGGACAACGCTGGTTCTTCGGCTTTGGAACAGAGATGAGCACTGCCCCTAGAGCTGGAAATGACTAGCACGGATGTGCAAGGGGAAACTTTACCTTGTTGACAAGAGGATAGAAATGCCTGCAGCAGGGTGGGGTAGGTCTCCTTTTAAGGTGCTCCCCTCTCTCATCCACAGCCCCCAGCCAAGAAAAAGAAACAAGGTTTCATTCAAGCCCAGGGGAACGAAGGAAGCTGAATTCCAACACAAAAGAGCAAGCAGAAGACCAGGAGATACAATCCTTGGGAGATCTCCTTGGGTGGCCAAGATCTCAAAGAAGAAAACAACGTTTTGGCAAGACTTGGTCGCAGCATAGCACAGGTGGACCGGCTGCTAATCTACCTGGCTAATACTCAAGTATTAAATGCGCTAATACTCAAGTATTAAGTACAGAAGTCCGTACTTGTTGGACATATTTTACCCGCTGACCCAAATTCCTCAGTCTTGGGATTTGAAGTTGGCCTTGGTTGGGCTGCAAGAAATAAGCATTTTGACCTGAGGACCACTTTAAATCCACATAATCCCAAAATCCCTGGGTGCTCTGAATGACAGATGCTTAACTGTATAATTCATGCTACTGAATTCTATCTTCTGTCCATCCAGGTGTTTATTTTGGTTCACGCTATTCTACCTTCTTATCCTATTTAGTTCCCGATTCCAGTTTGATTGTGTTAATTCCAACCTCTTGAAAGGTAAAGGTAAAAAGGTTCCCGTTGAGCATTCGTGTTAGTCGTTTCCGGCTCTAGGGGCCGGTGCTCATCTCCGTTACAAAGCTGAAGAAGAGCCAGCGCTGTCCGAAGACGTCTCCGTGGTCATGTGGCCGGCAGGACTAAATGCCTTTGAAAGCTCATGGAACGCTGTTCCCTTCCCACCAAAGGGGTCCCTATTTTTCTACTTGCATTTTTTACATGCTTTCGAACTGCTAGGTTGGCAGAAGCTGGGACCAGTAATGAGAGTTCACTCCGTTATGCGGAGCTAGGGATTCGAACCGCCGAACTGCCAACCTTTCTGATCAACAAGCTCAGCATCTTAGCCACTGAGCCGCCTCATCCCTTCTTTTTTTTTTCCCCAGTCTCTTTACTGGTTCCCAATTTGTGAGTCATGGTGATGCAGTGGTTCGAATGTAGTATTGCAGGCTAACTCTGCCCACTGCCAGGAGTTCGATCCTGACCGGATCAAGGTGGACTCAGCCTTCCGTCCTTCCGAGGTTGATCAAATGAGGACCCAGATGGTTGGGGGCAAGAGGCTGACTCTGCAAACCAGTTAGAGAGGGCCGTAAAAGCAATGTGAAGTGGTATATAAGTCTAAGGGCTAGTGCTATCATCACAGTTAATCCTCAACCACAATTGGGAGCAGAATTTCTGTCACTAAGCAAGGCAGTTGTTCAGCAAGCCATGCCCAATTTTGCAACCTTAAGTGAATCGCGCTGCCTTAAAGGCTGCAGTGACTTTGCTTGTCAGAAGTCAGCTGGAAAGGTCACCAGTGTTGATCACGGGACATGGGGAGGCCGCAACAGTCACAAATGCGAGGACGATCGTAAATCATTTTTCTCAGTGACATTGTAACTTTGAAACCGTTGCTAAGCAAGTAGTTGGAAGTTGTCAATCTTAGTTGCATCCTGAACTTTTTCCAAACTAGTTGAGACTTTGGAAAAAGTGCAGAGAAGAGCAAGTAAGACGATCAAAGGCCCGGAGACTAAAACATATGGAAAACGGCTGCAGGATTTGGGTTTGGCTAGTCTAGAGAAATGAAGAATTATGGATGACACGATAGCAGTGTTCCAATATTTGAGGGGCTGCCACAAAGAAGAGGAAGTCAAATTATTCTCCAAAGCACCAGAAGGCAGGACAAGAAACAATGGATAGAAATTAACCAAGGATAAAAGCAACCTTGAAAACTTCCTACCAGTTAAGACAATCAACCATCGGAACTGCTTGCTTTCAGAAATCATGGGCACTCCATCACCGGATAGCCACTTTATAGTACAGTTCTCCTGCTTGAGCAAGGGGCTGGACTAGAAGACCTCCAAGGTCCCACCCAGCTCTATTCTATTCTATTCAAAGTTGAGGACAACCGGTATATCTCCACTGCCGTGGCTGTCTCCGGCTCACATAACCAAAGGCGCAACGTTTGCAAAGCACATCAAACTGGTGTGGCTTTCTGCTTTGCTCTGAAGTTCGGGCTGATGTGCGAAGACACGGTCCAGTTGCTGAAGGAAGGGATATTATGAAACACACACACAGACACACACATGCATCTGATGCGTGAAAGGTTTGCCACATGCCAGAGGCACGTTTCCTAGTCTGCACAAAAGCCAAAGGCTAAAGAACAA